TATGAGTCCGAACCGACTCCACAGCACATAAGCACCACCACCATAACAATCTCCTTGCTTTGCCAGCCTAAATCTTGCAGGAAGGTGTAGGTAATGTGAAAAGTAAAAACAAAGAATCTCTGTCTACTAAAATAAGAGATCATGGAGAAAGATCCAAAAGAAAGCTGAGTAGTACACCATCATCAGTAAGTTACTATTATTTGTGGCCATGTTTCATGTAGAAGATATAATGTGATATCATCTCTCTTGACAATTCTTCTTAGGCATTTTTGTGAACTATACTCATTATGATATATTCAGATTTCAGAAAATTTTTATAGGATTTTAAACTTGAGATAATTTGTCATAGTTCTGCCTTTCTCTCTCTCTCTCTCTCTTTTTTTTTTCCTTTCCCACCCAGGTCTAACTAGCTTTGGCAGGGTTTTTGTTTTGTTTTGTTTTGTTTTGTTTTTAGGTGATGACAATATTCTAAAATTGACTTAGGTAATGATTGCACATATCCATGAATACACTAAAGAACATTTCACTGTACAATTTAAATGGCTGAATTGTATGATATGTGAGTTATATCTCCATGGAGCTGTCTAACAACAACAACAAATACCAGGGGAAATAAGAAAGAAAAATCTGAATGTCTGAGAGAACTGGGTTTACAACATCGCCAGTCTGATCTGGCTATATATCAGGTGTGTAGTGCCTCTCCTTAGCAAAGGAAAATGTACTTTTGTCCTCAAACAATAGCAGCTCAACTGAGAAAAAAAGCCAGTTTCTGGGACTAGCCCCCAGCTGGCTTGCTTCCCTTGGTTCTAATGCTTGGCGCATCTAATTCGAGTTCAAAGGCTTATGAAAGTCACCTGTAGATAGTATGGTCAGTTTTTTTCTGTTTCATATATCACCAAGTAGGGCGTGCTGATGGGTTAGGTCCCTGCCCCTTTAAGGCCCCTCTGATGCTCATGAGAACAGTTGTTGCTTGGTTACAGTTTACAGAGGGGACAACCATCCTTGAAAGAGCCCTGAGTCATGTGAAAATATGACAGATTCATGAGGTAAGGATGGTGTTTTCTTGATGACTGGGTACATCTTGGTAGTTCTGTCTGGGGGACAACCTGAGGACTGTGGAATTCTGTGGACTTTAAGCTTCCAGAATTAGCTCTTGTGTCACTAAGTGGACCAACTGTCCGTGTCTTCACTTGAGGAAAACAGCAACGGATGCTGTAGAGATGTTTGATCCACATAGTTTAGGTAATCCAGCCGTTGTTTTTGATAGTGGTTCTGGATACTGCAAAGTAGGCTTGTCTGGAGAAACAGGTCCCCGTTATATTATCAGCTCTGTTGTGGGACATCAGAATTTAAAATCATCTCTGACAGGGAACAATGAGAAGAAGTACTTAATTGGGGATGAAGCCCTGTACATTTGTGAGCCCTCAGACCAGCAAATGGATGAGATGCTAGACCTGCAAAAGAATGAGCCCATAGACCTGCACTACCCTATTCAACGTGGCTTTGTCGTGAGCTGGGACGACATGGAGAAGCTATATCAGCACCTTTTCAAGTGTTACATGGAAGTGAACCCCAGCGAACAGCCTGTACTCGTGACCGAGCCCTCCTTGAACCCAAGACAGATTCGCGAGAAGATGGCGGAGATGATGTTTGAGTCCTTCAATGTGCCTGCCTTCTATCTGTCTAAACAAGCAGAGGCGGTACTCTATGCCTCTGGCTTAGTCACGGGCCTGGTGGTGGACAGCGGGGAGGAGATCACCTGCACAGTCCCCGTCTTTGAGGGTCATTCCCTGCCTCATGCTGTCAACAAGCTCTACTTTGCAGGAAGAGACATCACGCGGCACCTTTCCTGGCTCCTGCTGGCCAGCGGGAATGCCTACTCCTACATACTAGACAAAATTGTAGTAAGTGACATCAAAGAGAAGCTGTGCTATGTAGCCTTTGATCCAAAGGAGGAGCTAAGCAAGAGCCGAGAGGAGGTCCTGAAAAAATACATACTGCCGGATGGTACTGTCATCAGGATGGGGGAACAGCTACATCAGGTGCCAGAGGCCCTCTTTGTGCCGAAACTGGTAGGCATCCAAAGCCCGGGGGTCTCAGAAATGATCACCAGCAGCATCATGAAGTGTGACGCCGACATCCAGGATGCCCTTTTTGGGCAGATTGTGCTGGCGGGGGGCACCACTCTGTTAACTGGGTTCAAGCACCGTCTCTCGAAAGAGCTGGAACCGGTAGCTGCCAAAGGGACCTATGTCAAGATCATAGCTTACCTCGACAGGTATTTCTCCGGGTGGATCGGCGCATCCATTATGAGTTCTCTAAATACTTTCAAAGAAATGTGGGTCACCTCTTCTGATTTCAAGGAGTTCGGGCCATCTGTGCTCCAGAGAAAATGCTGAGCACATCATACACAGCGGGAGTCCTTTGAAGCACAGGGCACCAGGAGCGAGTGACATCATCCGTCAGATGTCTTCACGTTCTTCAATAAAAAGGTGATTTGTCATTTTTGGCTTTGTTCTATTCTTTGTAGCACCAGAATAATTTCTCCCTCTAGTAGTGAATCTTTCACTGGTTCTATTTACCCCTCCTCCTCCCATGTGTCTGCTAAATTGTATTTTCCTGAGAAAGCCTTGGCTTATGAGTTGAGTCTTTAACCTGCAGTTTGTTGTCAAAGCAGGCGCCTGGGCCTCATGCCCAAAGGCTTGTTCCAATAGGGTTCCTGGACTCTGCATTGTAAACACGTGTTTTGGGTGGTTCTGACAGACTCAGTGTCCAGAAGCCAGTCAGCAGGGGAGCAGATGGATATGGGGGAGGTAAGGATAAGTAGAGATGCTACAATCTTCTTATTGCTGTTGAGACGGTTCCAACTCATAGTGACCCTGGATAGGATTTCTAAGGAGCGACTGGTGACTTTGAACCACTGACTTTACAGAAACACTATTTTTAGGACTCAACAAATCCTTTGGCTGAGTAGATCCTTAGCACAATAGGGCTTTGACTTATTTTTATCAGATTGAGCATCTAATAGGCTAGAGTTACAATCCTTGATTGACAAAGAAAGATAAGCATAAAATTCACCATTTGTTTAAGTTTCTCTAAGCTCAGTTCTGAATTAGGGAATTATATGAATCATTCATACCTCTACTTATTAGAGTCTTTTTGGATTGTTATTTCTTCTGGGATTGTTTTTTTGTTTTTTTGTTTTTTTCAATATTTTATTGTGAATTCTGTGATAGTTCACATTTTTTGTTTTGTTTTGTTTTTAATTATTTTCAGGAATGTTTATGGCAATATTGTGTTGGGGATAAAATACTGGAAATACTATGTTTGAATAAATTATGGATAAAGGGAATTCTGCCATATTGGTTTGTGAAATATCCCCATAATATTATCAGAAGAGACCTATAAAATGCAAAAGTATCTTCAAAACATTTTTTTTCAGGGGGTTAAAAAAAAACCACAACACACTTTCCATGTGTATGCATATATATGCACATTTGTGTGTATACCTATGTAAGTGAAATTATGTGTTTACTGTTGTGAGCACATGGAGAAAAGTACAAAAGAGTACCCACCAGGGGATTTACACAGGTTAGTGGGAGAATTGGGATTGACAGGTAATTCAGATGGAAAGAAGAGAAGACAAGGGAAATAAAAAGATACAAAAAGAGCTACACTAAAGTCAGCCTGGATGATTCTTTGTAGATACAGACAAGCTTATTCTAAAATTTATATGGAGTGCTATATGAACTAGAATAGTAAAAATCATTTTGGAAGAAGATATATATTACTATAGAGATCATACTTCCTGATTTTAAGATTTACTAGGAGTCCTGGTATGGCACCACAGGATAAGCACTTGAAATCAAGGTCAGTTTGAACTGCCAGGTCAGTGGTGCAAACTCACCAACCAGTCCTTGGAAACCCTGTACAGGGTTGCTATGAGTCGGAACCAACTCGATAGCAATAAACAATAACATAGGTTCCAATAGAGCAAGGTGACTCCATAGGATAAACACTGGACTGTGAAGCACAAAGTCCTTGGTTCGAGTTCACCAGCTGCTCTGCAAGATAAAGATGAGGCTTGCTGCTCCTGGAAAGATTAAAAAGTCTCAGAAACCCTATACAGGATAAGTATGAGCTGGAACCAACTTAACAACAACAACATAAAGCTATAGTGTTCAAGACTATGTGGTGTTGAGAAGACATACACACAATGCATAGCCCAGAAATAGAACCACACGAGTACAATCTATTTATTTTCACAAAAGTCACTGAATGGAGTAAGGAGAGACTTTATAACAAAGGGTGTTGAAAATTGGACATTCATATGCAAACAAGTCCCTTAACCTAAACCTCTTGCCTTATACACAAATGAACTTGAAATATATTGCTAATATACTTATAAAACATAATGCTATAAAATCTTTAGAAGAAATCACTGGAGATAGATTTTGTGATTTAGGGTAGATATTACAAAATTGAACATCATTAAAATGAAAAATTTTTATTCTTCAAAAGAACCTATTAAAGGAATAAAAAATTTAAAAAAAAAAAGGCACAAATCCCTCTACTTGGTGTATATCCACAAGAGATACAAACCAGGACACGAGTAGATCTCTGCACACTAATGTTCATAGCAGCACTATTCAAATAGCAAAAAGATGGAGACAGCCTAAATGCCCATCAATGGAACAACGGATAAACAAACTTTGTTATATAAACACAGTATATCAAATGTGCCAGAGTAAGAATGACTCTGTGAAACACCTTATAACATGGATAAACCTGGAGGACATTATGTTGAGGAAAATTAGTCAATCGTAAAAGGACAAATACTGTATGAGACCATTATTGTAAAAACATCAGAAAAAGTTTTCATACTATAAGAAACATTATTTGATGGCTGCCAGGGGTAGAAGGAAAGGGAGAGTAAGTCACTGACAAGAGGGTAGATACTTGTTATCTCACTGATTGGGAGGGCAATATACAAGAACAGGGAGAGTGTTAGAAGAATGATGAAGATAGGTGAAGATACAGGGAGGTATGCATAGGCTAAAGGGGGTAGAAATAAATAGTGATATATACACAACCTTGCAATAACAGTGTTTCATGTGTAGATACAGGATAAGGGAGACAGATTGGGATATATACATATATATATAATTGTTAGAAAGAGGCTATTTGTACATGGGTATTTACCTTTCCTGCATACCACTATGAATGTGATGGAGCATACAGCGGGCAAAAGGATGAAAACTTCTTAGATGTCATTCAATATCTTAAGGCAGGCCTGGGGGCTCGGAACCATTGTCTCAGGGGACACTATGGTCAATTGTCATAACATATTCCACAAGGACAGTGTTATACATCCTACTTGAGTGAGTAGTGTTTGGGATATTAAAAGCTCATGAGCAGCCATCTAAGAGAAAAAATAAAAAAAGCGGACTATTTGGCTATTACAAGAACAAGCAACCTGTTCACCTGGGAGCAATCAAAGCCCTTCAGGACAAATCCCATTCCAAGTCTGAAACTCAAAGGGAACACACGAGCAGGCTTATAAGCTCGCTGGTGATCACATTGCTTTGCTTGTGAGTGGAAGTGTGGGAAAGGCAGTAATGAAGACATGGGCTGAGTCTGACCATGTTCCATAGACTCCTGTCGATCTTGAGATGAGAGAGAAGGAGAAGAGCTGCTTGGTCCGAAGTTTGGGGAGCCTAGGGAACTCCTGAGCCCATGGACACTGACCTAGCCACAGTGGGCTAGAATTCAGAGTGAAGTGTCCAGTTGATAATGAAGTGAGGGGAGGCACGCAAGAACACCCAAACTTGCAGATAGTACCCATTTGACCTAGCTTGTATGGTTTGATG